AGACAGACAGATAGAACGATAGATAGACAGACAAAGACAGACACAGACAGACAGATAGTTATAGACAGACAGAGCGACAGACAGACAGACAGTCTGCTGTGATCATCCCACAATCATCAAAGAAAACTGAAAATATATTTTACCAGTTTCCAAAACTGCAGAGCAGCTGTGATGGCCATTCCTGGCCCAGAGAAAAACAAGGGCTGGGAAAATCAGACAAGACATAAGGACAGTACAACCTACATACATACAGTGTGCGTGTGCATATTTTCACATGTGTCATATTTAACATAGCATCAACCCTGATTAATATCCATAATCAAAGCTCAGAAGAGAGTCACAGTGAGTCTCTGCAGTCAGTGATTCTGAGAACAACATGACAACAAGCCCCAGATATACGATCCACTGACAGGCGCCGTTGACTTATAGGGCGACCGAGCTCACGACACGCCCGCCGCCTCGAACCAAAGCACACGGTGACATCACCTGCTCCGGCATTCCCGCATTCCCCGGGCCGTAACGGACACCGGGCCGTTTGTTGACATCAGCACTCAGAATAGGCCGCTGGATTACTGGGATACTTCAGTCTTCACCACGCTTTTCTGATCAGTGGATGATTTGCTTTCGAGGGTTTCGTGCTCCATCGCAGCTGCAGATATCCAGAGGATTATTGCTGGGTTATGCTTGGGTTATTATTCCGAGCGCTATCCGATAACACGGCAGAAATGTCAGGAAATCCCTGGAAACGTCCCTCCGTCCCTGCAGGACAGACTCCGGACACAGGAGGCTTAAAGCGGAGGGAAAACTCAAACGCATTAGTGGCTCTCTGAGAAACGATAGTGTTTCAAGATCTCGTCTCGTGTTTTAAAAAGCAAAAGCGTCCTGTAGGTTAGCCAGAGGGTACATTCCTTTCGGTTGTAATGAGCAGAGACACATAATCCACATCTACTGCAGCAGCAGCTCGTTCTTCAGCAGTGGCATCATCTTCATCCACCGAGCGTTATTGATGTGCACTTATGCAACCCATCTAAAAGTAGATGTTTACAATCAGAGCATTTCAGTTATGCACTTACTTTAAAAAGCCAAGCTACATCAGCCACAGTCAGCAGTAATAATGAGGCCTAATTATTCACGTCCTGTGCTTTTCTTTTGCATTTACTTATTTTCAGACTAGATTATAAGCATGAATCTTATGAAACCTGTCAAAAAATTTCACCAACATTTTTTTTTATATATATATATATATATACATTAATTTCTCATTACTGTAATGATTCTTTTTATTTTAACTGCGAAGTATTAATACATCATGGTAGTACTTATTGTACTGTCTTTAATTAAATAGCTGATTTAAATAATTTATCATCACTAATTATTTATATTAATTCAAATAATAATTATGTGCCATGAACACTGTGACCAACAATATATATATATATATATATAAACAAGGTCTAGATGCATTATTGACGATTTGGAAAGAAAATGTGCTTAATTGTCATGATAATATCTGTCACATTTAAAGATATTGCTTAATATATAATTACATATTTTTAAAATATATTTATATACATAATTTAATATTATATATATATATATTATTATTTATTTATTTTTTATATAATGATGGAAAATTAATAATTTAAATTAATATAATGATGGAAAATTATTTAAACCAGCTATTTTCAGTAAAATAAGTACTAACATGATATATATTAATACACCACAATTAAAATAAAAACTCATTGTGTGTATCTAATTTATTTATTTTGCATTGTATGTGTGTGTATATGATATATTTATACATAACTAAAATAAAAAACATGAGATATATATATATATATATATATATATATACATATAAAATATTTTTATATTGATTTTTCATGAGATTCACAAAAAAAAAAATATATATATATATATAAAATATATATAAATCAATTTAGAATCACAAATACAAACCGCACTAAATATTCAAACAACGGAATGGAATCTTCTCTCAGAAACAATGAGATCCTGAAGAGCTCGAGCTTTAATAACAAATGAAGTTTCTAAAGATTTTTTTCAAATAAATATTTATAGAGCGCAGTGACTCGTGGGGGAAGACGAGGAGTCGTTTGGGCACCCACACACGGGACATTCGATGGAAAGGAATGTGTTATGATAATATGATGTCCCGTATGTTTACATGCAAGACCGTCATGCAAACATCTGATCTGACACGCCGATATGTACATCTACTGAAAACCTCATTCAGGTCTGACAAAAAAATAATAAATATCCAACTCTATTTACTAAAGCTTGACCGAATATAAAACACACACATTTTTGCTTTTCAACCCACAATGCCAAATAAAAGACTGAAAAGAGTGTGTTTGTACGAGAAACAGGCCACGCAATGGGTTTATTTATAATCTAAGAGACAAAAATACAAAAGAAAAACTAGTCAAAATAATAAATCAGACAATAATGAATCAACTGTATGAGCTGTAAATTACATTCAGCAAAATGTAGTTTTGCTACAACACTTTGTATTTTCTGCTCAGATTCAGACGTAAAACTGTCCACTTCCACAAGGTTTGGAAAGCGTGTGGGAGAATCCCGATGGAAGAGACTCATTCCTCTGAACTCCACAAACTCAGAGTCAAAAGTGAAGAGGAAATCTCCTCAGATCCTGCGTTTCTTCCATTCTGGCTGATCTTCTTCGGCCTCCTCTTCCTCGTCCTCGGCAAACAGCGGCTCGGGCTGCGTCCTGTCAGACAAAAACACATCATGAGACACGTTGAGATCTCACACACAGCGTTCACTGCTCACAGAGAGACAGAGAGGATGATGGGAGATTAATCCAGTTACCTACTTTCATTCAGATCACTGATTAAAATACAACATCTGCTGTGAGTCACAGAGGCACACCGACACACACACACACCACAAGCAGACACACCACACACACTCACTCACTCACTCACTTACACACACACACACACTCACTCACTCACTCACTCACACACACACACTCAC